TATATATATATATATATAAGATTTACTTATTCTAAGAATAATTTTTTATAGACTTACTTTACTTAATAATTAATGATCTACATTAAATTTCAATAATTCAACCGCTAATAAATTAAAATTTATTAATAAATAAATCAAGTTTACAAAATTTAAAAATTATTTGATATTTTGTTACAAAATTTAAAAATCATTCCAATGGTTATTAATGTTATTAGAGAGATGCTGGAGAGAAAATATTACAGGAGAGGATCCAAATTCTTATATTTTAATTTCAAGTATTTGATTTGTTGTCATTCATGATCTTATTAAAATAAATAAAAAAATTAAATTTATCTAAATAAAAAAGATTAGACAAATAAATTTTTATTTAATATGATTCTACTATTTTTAAGATATTTAATATAGTTCTTTAATTTCTTAAAAAGTATTTAATATTATTTTTTATCTAATTATATTAACATCCTTAATGTCAATTTAAATGAAAAAATAACATTAACCTTTTTTAAAATTAGGGAATCATTGAATATTTTAAAAATAATAAAACTATATTAAATTATAAAAATAAATAAAAGGCCTAAAAATATAATTTAGGATCAATTTCAATTTTATTCTTCTATAATATATAATTTGTAATTTTTATTTTAAAAATTACAAAATTTACAATTTTGATTTTATTACTAAACTTATATCCGTAACGACTAAAATTATAATATATTAAAATTATATTTAAGAAATATTAATATTTCACTTTTAGATGTTTTATAAGAAAAGTTGTTAGCAAAAATAAGTTTCATATTTAAGACAAAATCTTAAATCTGTAAACAATATTTTTTTATTTTGAATTTTTTTTTATAAAACTCAAAATTTAAAACTTTTAACATTTTTTTTTTCTTTTAAGCTGATTTATTATATAAAAATCATTTTTTTTCATTATATCCAAAAATCACTTTTCTAAACAAAATTAGATTTTGATTATAATTATTATTGATTTAAAATAATTTTCTTATTTTTTAAACACATTCTAAATATATGTTAAGATAATTAATAATAAATGATACATTTTCATTCAAGACGCATAAAAAGGGTATTTTTCTTTCTTTCTTAATTATATGAAAAAGACTCACTTTAAAAAATACTACTATTTGTTAATTTTCTATTATATGCTCATGTAAGTCGACATATTTTTTAGTTTATTAATAATAAAAGTAATATTCTTTGGATGAAAAATTTGTCTCTTGAATTAAGTTTATTGTCATTAAATGCAATTATCTTTTAAAGCATTCAATTTCGAGATGTATTTTTAGAATAAAATTTAATTTTATGATATTATTAATAAAAATTAATTACTTTAACTATTTTTTTTATTGATTTTGATGAATTGATTATTTGTTTCTTATTTAAAAGACTAGAAGTAGTAATATTTAGATTAAATTATATTTTTTCATTTTATTTCATAAAAATCTACAAAATTGTGACAATAAAATAAAAATAAAGGTAAAAGTGAAATTTAATATAAACATTATATATCTTGTCATTTATTTAACGTAAAATCATAATTAATATTGCAATTTCAACTCCAACGAGTGAACATATAGCAATAAAGTCAAAATTACTAATTTTATTTCATAAAAATCTACAAAATTGTGACAATAAAATAAAAATAAAGGTGAAAGTGAAATTTAATATAAACATTATTTATCTTGTCATTTATTTAACGTAAAATCATAATTAATATTGCAATTTCAACTCCAACGAGTGAAGATATAGCAATAAAATCAAAATTACTAATTTTATAAAATCAAAGAAATTAAAATTATGGGATTAAAAATTGGAGACCAAACTTATGGGTTAAATATTATATAAAACCAAAAATGAAAGATATTACAACAACAATAATAATTTATATTATTAATAAAGACGATATATATATCTTTTTGTTAGATTCTTATAAGTCTACTTGCAATAATTTCTTCTTCTTTTTTTTGGTAAATGAACTACTTTTTTTAACACTACCTACATTCTTATATATATATATACTTCAATTATTTAATTCATCAAAATTAAGAAAAGTAGTGATTTTATTGATACAATAAATTTGTTTTATTTATACTTTTTTTTATAAAATTACCCTTATACTACGTATTTTTCCTAATTAATATTCAAAAATCTTCTAACTAATTAATATGCAAGCCTTATATTATTTATCTCTCCTAATTAATATTCATATTTCTTTTAACTAATTAAAAGACACATTCTTTAAAAATTTATAATTAGTGTATTTTATCAAATTAAAAAAAAACACTTTAATTAGTGATATTTTAATTTAAAAATAATTATTATATAAGATAATATGAATTGAATTTTATATAAAAATATAAACAATTATTTTAAATTACGTCATATAAATAGCAGTACTTCTATATTTTTTATTTAATTTTTTTTCTCTTTTCTACTTCACAGCTAGCACTCTTCAAGTAATCATTTACTATTTTATTTCTCTTCATTAAAATTTTCAAAATAAAAGGCACATAATACTTTTTTTTCTTAGAATAATAAATATATATTTTTTAATATTTTTAATTTTAGTTTTTTTTTTTAATCTAATTTCCCTTCCATCTCGTAACAAAATTTCCATCCCTCGTGGAAGTTTCAACTTTCTTTCCAAGATAGCCTTTCTCTCTCTTTATTTCTTTACTCCCTATAATTTTTGTGGTTGCTTTCCTCTCCGTTTCTGTTCACTGTTCATGTGACTGACTGTTCATTGACCACTACTTTATGGAAGAAAAAAAAAAGTGTCTCCGGCTTCATTTATGAATAGTGAATACCCTTCTTTCTCATTGGTGCCTCGTGCAGTTGGTCTTTCATTGATTGCAATAAATAAAGCCGCTGCATATTTTTTTTGCCAGATTAAATTAATTTAAAATAAAATTTTGAGACACTAAGTAAGGTAAGGATTTGAATCTTGCCTTGTGTATGCAGCCGCGTTAAATCTTGGGGCCAGTTATCCCACTCTTTGAGGTGCCTCTAACGTAGCGAGGAGATTAGTCATTGCTGTCCGGTGGATACTCCAAGGACGAAAAAAAAATAAATAAATAAATATATAAAGCCCCTGCTCATTTCCAAGATTCACACTTCCATTTCCGTCCTTATCCCTCTATATATTTATTCATTCTTCAACTCCCTCTCACTCTTACAATTCAATAACCCTCTATTTCTTTTCCATCTTCTCAACAATTTTTCACCATTTTCTACCAAAAAAGATGAGCAAGGTCACAGCCCTGTTCTTCACCCTACTACTCTGCACCATTCTCGCCCATGCCATGCGCCCTCAACCAGCTTTTCAACAGGAATCATCCTTGGCAAGAGCGCATCAACAGGTTTGTTGAAATTCTTTTCATAATTATATTATTACTACGATGTATTTACAATTTTGGTTGAAATTTTAATGCTGATATATATCCAGCTTTATAATGAATATTGGTGGCGGTTAAGTGTATGTCTGTATGATATTGATTTCATATTTTGTAGGGTGTCGAGGCTGTTGATGAGAGTTGTGAAGGCGTTGGAGAAGATGAATGCTTGGTGAGGAGAACACTTGCCGCTCACGTGGACTATATTTATACGCAAAAGCATAATCCTTGAAAAATACTATTAAATTATTATTCTCTTAGTGCTATTACTATGGATAGATATTAGCGTCTGTCCATGTGTTGTTTTCATACTCATCAGGAGTTGGTAGCTGGATCATTTGTTTGTACTTCATATTTCTATTTTTTGTTTTTCTCTTTAGCTTATATGTATATTGTATGAAAGTACAATTTCATGGAGATATTTGCCTAGTTGATAGAGTACAAGAAAGAGTCTCTTTTCATATTTTGGTTCAGAACTTGATGCATCGAGCATGGATCAGATATGGTATGACAGATTTTTTTTTTTAAACGTGGACTCTCATTCAACCTATATATAAACAAATGAAATTAATTAATTTCACGAAAATTAAAAAAGTTCATTAAATATATTTAATTTTCACAAAAAACATATATCATATTTTTTAAAATATTTTTAATAACATTGATAGTAGATAATGTTTCTATTATTAACGAAAAAAAAAGTATTTTTGGATTAAGAATATTAAATAAAATTTGTTTATATTTTAATATTAAATTTAATTGTTTTTTTGCTTATAAATAAGTTAAAAAAGTGTATGTTGTAACATAAATCGAAAAGCAACCACAAGTATTTAATTCAGGCTTCCAACTCAAATGGCCTCATCCAAGGCGAGAAATGAAGCTATACTTCCATGTTATTTTTGGATGAATAAAGTGTTGTATCTTTAACAATAATAGAAGAAAGGACCCGGATTCATTAAGTCCCATAAAAGTACTATGGATTCATTGTAACTTTGTCTAACTGATTTTGTCTGACAACTGACATCTGAGGTTACTCTGGAATACGTGAGACCTGCTTCGAATAGGTAACTGTAACCTCTGGATTTAATGCATGTTATCTCTCTCTGAGATAGCACTCAGTATTAAATGTAATCAACCACTTGGTTGGCTTCTTTGCTTTGGGTGTTTGATCGAATTGGTTGATAGTTGAGTTTGAAGTTATAACTTCAGTGTTCATTTAAATCTTCCTTATCCGACATGTGAATGAGAAAGCCAGGAAGAAATGAGAGGCTACCGAAAGATGCGTATACTCTTTGCGGATTGTATAGCTGTAACTGTAAGCATTCACTACTACGATTCTCAAATAATTGTACAACTTACAAGTGGGTTGATTTATCCAACCTTTGTCACCTGTCAAATTGTAACACACATATATATAAAAGTGAGATTTTTTTAATTTTAAAAAGAAGTCTACTTAAATTTATTTTAGTCAATAATTTATATTTTACATCAAATATTAACGATTCAATAATTAAATTAAATTTTTTAATATATAAATTAAGTTTATAATTTTTTAAAAAATTAAAAATCATCTAATATTCGTTTATATTTATTTAAATTGACAAATAATTATAAAAATATTTTATATGTTAATTTTTACCTTTGATATTAAAGTGAAAAATGTCAATATTACCTCTATAAATATTTCTTATAATTAAGATTTTATAGTCACTGTTTCTTCCTTATTCTTCAAAATTTAATATTTTCCTCCTTTTCATTTGTTACTCATTATTAGGGGTGATAAATAAATTCATTTATGCATCATTCATTATATCTATCCACAAGTAAATCCATTCATTACAATAAACATAAGTAATGAATCGAACCAATCCAACAATTTAGTTTTATGGATGGTTAATAATTCATTTGGTACTATTTCACAATTCATTGGATTAAAATATGATATGTTTAATCTATTGAGATTTTAAAAGACTATTTTAATATATATAAAATATTTTGTTAATTTTAAAAGACTATACAAAAATATAATGACATAAAAAAGTGAAAGAAATAAAATATTTTAAAAAATAAAAATTATTTAATTTTTAAAATATTATTTTTATGGATAAATTGAATGGATTTTTTTAACTTTTAATGAATCTAAATAAATTAATAATTGTAATAATCTAAAATATTATAATTTATAAAATTTTAATGAATCTAAATAAATTAATAATTGTTTTTATCTAATCTATTATAATTTATAAAAAAAATGATATATATATATATATATTTATTTATTTATTTGTCACCCTTAGTCATTATAGTCCTGAATTGTTTTATATATATATATATATATATATATATATATATCCTCATATTTCTGGCTCTCCCTTTTTAAGGATTTCCTCCATCTTTTTCATTTTTTTTGCCTTGATTAACCTGATAAATAAGACAATTTGGACCTTATGGAGATATTCTCAGAGCCCCTAATATTTTGGTTGAAATATAGCAAGTGACTGCAACAAATTCCCAAAAAACAATCTTAGTAGTCAAACTTTGTTTTTACCTATAAAATTTTTTTGGGACACATCTGTCCAACATAAGGATATCCTTCTATTAAAAATGGTTTTTTCTCTCTAATGCAATTGAGATGGGTATGATTGGAAAGAAAAAACATTTTGAAGTTGTTAATAACAATTTGAGCAACATGATAATGTGTAATAAATGTGAACTTAAGAATGTTAATATTGGTTGTATTTATAAGAGTATGAGATATATTAGTTTGTTTTTTTTTACCCGAGAGTGAAATCCTCTAAAAAGTAATATTGCCCTACTCTAATGTAGCGATAATGTGACTTTACTTAAGGTCGATATGTATTTCCTATTCTTATGTATGTTATAATATTTTTAAACATTAATGTTATCAACTCGCTAAAGGAATCATTTCTTTCTGCATAAAGAGCATAATTCTTCTTTTTCCTGGTTACTTAGTCCTAATGCTAGAAATTTGACCTTTTTTTATATAAAAACAATCTTATATGCTTTCTACAAATTAAATCAATATTCTCTATTTTATTCTATATTATAAGCATCTTATTTAAGAGATATTGATTTAAATTTTTTAACTATTCTATTGATATATGTTGGGAATAAAAAGAATTCTTATTTTACACATAAGGATAAGAAAATACAAATAAGTCAATATCATAAATAAATAGAAAAAAATCATATAAATTTATTTAATGTAGTTCAACATTTATGGTTACGTCCACAAGGATGTTCATTATCTCAATATGTATTACATATATGTTCCTTAAAATCCTTTTTTCAAGTTTTGTAGGAGAAACCTAAAAATCCCTCCTAACAAGTTTATTGGTAAAACTTGGAAATCCTTCCCTCACAAGTTTTATGGGTGAAATTTAGAGGTCTCTTCCTCGCAAATTTTTTGACAAAACTTGGAAATCCTTCTTTATATGATCCCCACAGAGCATACAAAGCACAATATTTTTTTTAAAAGAAAAACTAATAGAAAGGAATTCATAATTATAGAAATAATACAGGTTCAACAAGAGGATATCATATTACATAGTAACTAAAACATAATACCAACAATTGCCTACTTGATAAATAACAACAATGGAAACTAAGAGTCATCATAAACATGAACATATAACATAATTAAGTCCTAACTAAGTCTCAATGCCACATCTATCAAAGCATGAACTCAAGACAAGACCTAAGCCTCATCTCCAATATCATGTTGAGTTTCACCTACAATAACATTCACATAAAATAAACACAAGAAACTAGGAGTGAGAAACATATCACTCTTACTAATGACGTAGAATATAACCATAGCCAACACACAATAAGAACAATAAGACAATAAGAACACAATAATGACAAGGCATAATATTAATAATCTATTACAATAACGAGTTACAACACAGGTAATAATATAAAATATTCCTACATACAGTAACCATGATTCAATACACAATTTCACTTCATACGCATAATGTAATGGACATGAACTATAAAATGTATATGCATGTCATGCTAGTAAAATCACATTGTGGTGCATTGTCATATGACAACTCATAGAGAGCCTAAAAGATATCCATGATGGGTCACACCTTCATCTCACTCTAAACTAGGAGGAGATATATTAGGGTCTCATTAGGATAATCTTGTTGTTCAAGCTTTGCCTCATGCACATAAATGGATGAAACTGAGGCTTCCCAAACTCAATTGTCCTCAACAACATGAATCCCAAGTTTTTACATAAGGGGGTCTTCCTTGGCAACATATTATATATCGTATCCATCCAAAAACAATTATGCATATGATATATGCCACACAAGACTCGACATTATCATGTTATCACAACACACATTCACAATTGTACACACATTCGTTTCATCTCATAACCACTTTATGGCTAAGTCTCACTTATATTTCTCATCATATGATCCTCACATGATCCATACACATCAAGATATCAAATGGTGCAACATCATTTCAATTCATATATGGCTCACAATCTTGTCATTAGCATATTCAAATACCTCAACTAGTTATTAGCATATAGTATAGAAATTAAAATTATTAATAATATATCAATGCACGAACAAAGGAATCATAAATTGCAGGCGACGCTTGGCATCATCCATCTGCACCAGGCGTGGAGTATCCAGAGAACACATGTTGCACTCGATTTGGACCACGCTTAGCGAAATTACCACAAGGAGCCCTTCAAGCTCCAATGCTCAGCATATGGACCATCCATGCTTGGCGTGAATGGCATAGAGAGCAAACTTTCCTCTAGGTAATGTCGACAACGCCCAACAAGCCCAAAAAGGCTCCCAACGTCATACAAAAAAAAAAACGCACTCTACATAAAAGAGAAAATGCACCAACATATACATAAATTTCATTTTGATGAATCCAATGGACAAACATATATTTAAAACCAACATAACACACCCATAAAATTTGCATACATGAACACAATCATACCAATTTTTACTCATACAATTAAAAATATTTGTTCCCTAGGGTTCCTTTGAGACCCTATAGGTAATCCAAGATTCACAATATTAGTTTGATACACAAAATTAAGCATACATATATATGTTAATAATATCAATTAAAGCATTGAAGAATCATATGGGAGACAAAAACACAAGATGACACATAAATTTGGGATTTTTCCTTCATACAATGCATGCAACAAAGAAGAGATTGAAAGTCAATCTCACTGTCCAACATATATGCCCCACACCTAGAACGAAACTACTCACTCCCCCTTACCTCGATGGATGCTAGACGAAGGATGCGGATCTTCGAAGTAATCTCTCATGAACTCTAGTTCTCCAAGTTCTTCAAAGCGTATGCATAAGATAGAAAATCAAGAGAAAAGTGTAAAATGAAATTGACTCAACTTCTCCTTCTTAATTCTTAACTCCTCACTTAACCT